CGAGCCGCACTCTCAGCCACCAGTCCAGTAAGTGGCTTAAAAATGCTCACAGAATCCCACCCAGCCTGGTGGCACACACCTGTAATCCCAGCTCCCTGGGAGGAGACTTAGAAGAGGCAACCGCATGGTGAGACCCTGTCTCAAATAACAACCAAGCAAACAACAAGGTTATCCAAACCCCAGCTTGAGTGGCCCAAGCAGTCAAGGATACATGACATAGCTACTCCCAGCAAAGCTTCTCACACTGAGCTGTGTTGGGGACTCCAACACGGGGACCCAGTACAATAAGAAAATAACACACAACAGGCTGTGTCTTTGGGTATTAATTTTATCATCTGGAGCACAGCCCCCCCCACCCCTGTCACTCCCCTTTTTCCAGTCTTTGTTTTGGCTTAAGTCTCTACCTGGTTGGTGGGGGGGGCGGGTTACAATAACTCAAGCTCCCCAAACAGACACCCTCTGATTAATTAACTTCCGAGCAATTCCACCTGAAGTCCTGTGACTGTGTGTGGTGGCTCATATATGCAATGCCAGTACCCAGATGCAGAGGGGTTGCTTTGCATTAGAGTTATATAGTTGAGTTCCAGTTAAGACCTAGTCCCAAAGGGGGGGGTGAACAAGTTCTGGATTTGAGCTCTACTGGGCCCTAACTGGACGAGCGATCGATCGAGCCCCTGTATGTGGGAGAAAGGAAGATGTTGCTTGGTCAAACCCTCCCATTGGGTGGGTCAGCTCCACTCAAACTACACAGAATGGCTGAGTGTGGGGACAAGGACAATGAATATAGAGCTTGAAGGAGAGAAATGGACCCTGGGGAAAGAAGAAAATCGGTGCCCACTTCCTGCCCACTTCCCAGGAGGAAAGCACATAACCCAGCAGACAGTGAGATGAGTCAGGATGACTCCTTTACCACTGCTCCAAAAGAGAAAGTAAGTCTGTGAGCCCTGTTCCTTTCTGGGAACAGCCATTGGGGTCTGGGTCCTAGATGAGTTTCCTGTCTCTTCCCTCCCTCAGTGTCTCCCCACAAGTAAGGCAGCCCGTCACTAGGTCCCAGTCACGAGTGGGGTGCGGGAAAGATGCATGACAGTGGTCTAAGGGACATTTTGGTGGATCTTAACAGAGCTGGGAGACAGGGGCAATGCAGGGTAAGGGCTGATGGCTACAGTGACCATTGGAAGGACCTTGTCCTCTGGCCATGGAAAGGGTTTCCAAAGAAGCAGGCAGCTCCTCATTCACTAGAATTCAAGAATAATCCTTGATTGCAAGGAAGGTGTCTGGGTTGGTTTTTATTGTCAACTGGTCACAACCTTGAGTCATCTCGTGAGAGCAAGCCTTAGTTGAAGAATGGCCTCCGTTGCGTTGGCCTGTGGAATATCTGTGGGACACTCTCTTGAATGCTATCCGATATAGGAGTGTCTAGCCCACTATGGGGAGTGCTGTTTTTTGGCAGATGGTCCCGGGTTGTAGAAGAAGTTAGCTGGGAGTAAGCCAGAGACCACAGTAAACACTGCCCCTCTATAGTCTGTACTTCAGTTTCTGCCCTGACTTCCCTCGGTGGCAGACTGTGACCTGGAAGCATAAGCTGAATAAACACTGTCCTTCCTCCCCTAAGTGGCTTTTGGTTAGAGTGCTTTATCGTAGCAACAGAAAGGCAAACCAGAAGGAAAAGAAATCCATTTGCTGAGCACCGATGGTGTATGGACACATTCTCAAACCTCTTGTTTCCTTTTAAAATCATTTTCAAAAATCAGCTACAAAGCAGCAGGTTTCACTATGACGCTGAGAATCCTTCTTTCAAGCTGTCAGCCATCAGAAGTCGATCCTGCCATCAGCTGAAGCAGATGCCGTATCCAGGGGATCAGAAGGTGTTGATTGGCCAACGCGGAGTCATGTCCTTGTCCTTGCCCTGTCTACATTAAAGGTGGGGGTCAGCCCCACCCGCACTGCATAGGTGAGTATTGGGAGGTAAGGGATCCCCGGAGGATCACCACAGTGTACCCCGGTTGTCAGACTACAAGCCTACAGCCTCACACTGGCTTGGAAAAGTAAGAGGTGGGTTTGGGGAAGCAGAGGGGAGAGGCACAGGGAGGTGACAGCAAGCCATGGGACAAGAGTCTCTGGCTCTGGAAAGGAGGTGACAATGACTTCCAACCCAGCAGAGTGTGCGGCCCCACCAGGGATCCAGAGAACGGCTTCCTCTTGGTGTCTTCATGCCACAAGATGTAAAATAATCCCCTCAGCTCAGAAAAACACATTTTATGGCTGTCTGACTCATTTCCCACAAAGCTAGGTTCGCCGCCCGCCGCCCCCCCACTACGTTTACGGCTTTTGTTTTGAAAAAAAAAAAAAAAAAGTATGCTGAAGATTTTGGGATGACTTTTGGACATAAATTGTTCCCTTCTTCACCCTCGTCCCAGGCCCCCCTCACCTAATTTCTCAAACGTTGGCTGACAGTGGCTGTGAAGGACCTGATCCAAGTGTGTGTGGGATGACTTGGGGAGGACTGGGCTGCATAGCCCTGGGGCAGGGCAGGCTGATGCCTGCTGGGCACTGAGACAAGGGAGCACTCTGGGGTGAGGGTGGGGGTGTCCCTGGGCCTGCTGCTTTGGGGTCTTAGGCAGTGATGTCACCAGCTTCTAGCCTGGCAATCTCCTTAGGGGGCTTGAGGGGTAAAGGTCGCATCAAACCGGTTGCTTTTTCCGTCAATACCCAAGCTAAGGAGAGAGCGCTACGGGGCCGACTCAATCGTTGATCCGGGACATGGCCCAGCCCTTGGGGCTAGACTGCAGCTTAAGCTCACCAAAGTGAACTTGGGTGTTCTTGGATCTGATCCCTTTAAGGCTCTCAACCCTCGGTGCACATGCACGCCCCCCAGCTCCCAGAAACTAATTCTTTGCACTCATTTTCTCAGCTCTCCTGGCCCATAGATACCAGTATCCCAATTCTCAACAGAGGCCTGAGCTCAGCCAAGGGACCAGCACCTCACAGCTCCTGCTGATCTCCAGGTAGCCGAGGAGAAGAGGGGTGCAGCAAGCAAGCTCATCCTTGAGGTGACTTGGTTTTAGGTATCTGTGAGTTATCCATTGTCCACAGAGCCTCCCCGACCTTCACTGAGCACAGTGAAGGTCCTCCACGTGGTGTTCAATTGGCTACATCTGTTTTTTCCTGCGTCTCTCAGGAGGAGGGGTTTCAGGAGCCCCAGAAGTGACATTCTCCATTCAAGCCAGGTCCAGCTAAGCAAGTACCTGCCATGCCTGGACCAAGAGCCTCAGCCCATGGACTTGGGTTCCTGGGACATGAGATGAGACCAAGGCCCTCTTTCTGGCTTCGGGAAGCCTACTCCAGACCTTTGGGAGCCACCTAGCCTCTCTGAGGCCTCTAGAGCCCGAGCACTGCTAGATTGGGGTCCTAGTACCTGCTACGTTCTAGATGCTTCAGAAGAGGCCCAGGCAGGTACTACAGGCCCATAGGAGCTGCCAGGTGTGCCCGGGTCTCTCCCCATATCCCTGGCCCTGCCCATTCTCATCTCTAGATATGCCCCTGGTATGGCTGTGCAGAGCTTTGGATTTCCGCCTGGGGACAGGAAGCAGATATAAGATGAGGCCCAAGCAGTGGGGAGTCTCAGAATCAAGGGCTGGATCTCAGACAGACATGGCGCCTGCATGAGAGATATATGGACTGGGGTCTCCCAGCCTGGCTAAGCCCACAGGCATCAGGGGACAGTAGAGAGGTGACCAGGACTTCCTTAGCCACCAGAAAGTGATTCAGCTAAATTGAGGAAGGCTTCCGTTTCGGCAGAATACATTTTCCACTATGGTAAGAGCTTTTCACCCACGGGCTGTAGAAGAGCAAAGCCCTCCAGAGAGAGGTTTGGAGAGTTTCGGTTTGAATAGTCAGTGCTGATTCTTAATCATTAGTTTGAAGAGGCAGTTCTTGGTTTTCCAGCAGGTGGCTGGGGCTCGGGGCAGTCAAGTTAGGTGTGCCTGTGAATGCGTGTCTACACACCATGTGAGCTTTTGTGACTTGACCTTGGAGGCCAGGAAGGGAGGCAGTCATGATCATTCCTTTGGTCAGTGGTGAGGCCTGTACAGGTCTGCGGAACAACCTGGGCTCTCTACCCTCACCACCCTGCCACGAGAGCCAGCAGCTACACCGAGAGTTCGGTGTGTGCCAGGAGGCAGGCTGGGTGCTTACTCACAGCCTTGGGAACCTACCTATCAGTTGAGGTTCTGAGGGAGGAAAATACCAGTCAACACTCAGCCCAATGTGCACCCAGGCAGCCTAATAGCATCAAAGTCCTCCCAACAGCCACCCTACCTTCAGATTCTCCTGTGCCTGCCGTCCCTGGCATCTCTGGCACCACCCAGGGTGCACTACATTGAAGCCAGATATGGACATTGAAGCCAGATATGGTGCCCCAAACCCATGTAATCCCAGCAACTAGGGAGATTGAGGTGACAGAGGGTGGAGGATATATAGCTCAGCGGTAGAGTGCTTGTTTACCTAGTGTGCTCAAGGTCCTGAGTTCAATCCCCAGTACTTAAAAAAACCAAAAGCTGAGCCTACCCTGGTTTGGGGGATAGACTTCTGGCCTAACAAGTATGGTGAGGACAAACCCTGATTCAGATACCTGATGGAGCAGAAGGCTGGCTGCTTCCAGCCCCTCCCTTTCCTGGACCAGCCCAGGTGGGGACCCTGGAGGCTCAGCAGCAGGTCTGACCCGGGCAGTGGTAACAAGATGTGGGAAGTCCTGGCCGCAGGGCAGACAGAGGCCCTTCCCCCACCCTCATGGAGGCCCGGCATCTGCTGCCACCAGACAAGATCCCCAGCTGTCAACAGGTCCCCTGGTTCTTAGGCAGACCTTTCCCTAAGACTTCATCCTCCCAGGGGTGGTGACAGGGGCAGGTGACAAGGTGCAGGACCCTCTTCCTGCCTCATTACAGGTTAGACCTGGGCTCTACTGGGGGACCTGCATCTCCCACTCCACCTGCTCCACTCTGGCTGGAGAATATTTTGGCCTCTGGGCATTTCAGAGGATAGATCAGGCCTGGCCAATGGGGTTGGTTCTTTCTGGTGGCTAAGACACAGGTCTTGGTTTGATAGTCTCCCCAAGGCCATACTTAGTACCAGACTGAGGGAAGAGCAACACAGGCTTTTGAGGCCCAGGAAGGAAGCCAGGCCAGCAGCCCCCTGGGGTGCTGGCAGCTCCAGAGCAAAGGGCAGGTTGGCTCTGGCCAGAGGAAGCAGGGCAGGGGCCAACGTGAAGATGCAGGCTGAGCTCTGTGACGGATCAAATGCAAACCCTGAGTCCTGGCCCCATCAGAGAGGAAAAAGTCAGAAGAGGGTATGGCCACAAGCAGCCTTGGTAAAAGCCAGGCAGGGAGAGAGCGGGGCCACCAGGAGGATGGAGCAGACACAGCAGGGATTCAGGAATGGCTCCAAACTCCTGATGCAGCATGCGCCAGAGCCTCAGGAATCTGGCAGCAGCCAAACTGGGATTGTGGAGTGGGACCCTCCTGAGAGCGCCAAGGACTGCCTGTGAGCTTCTGTTTTTGACCCTTGCACACACAGAAACCCCACCTTCCTCACTCCCAGGTCTCGCAAGAGAGTTGTGGCATCTGTGAAGTTCTGCTCATGGCCTATGCTCTGCTCATGGTCAAAGCCTTGTGTGTCTGGGGGTCCCTACTACCCAGGACACCCTGAGCATCAGAACAAAGGCTTCTCTCTGAACCCATCCCTGTGAGGCCAGCCCTCGTGGAAGCTGGAATTGCTATGAGGCCGGTTCCCTGCGCTTGCATGGGCCCAAGAGACCCTCCTATGCCATGCTGGAGAAAAGATGACCATCGTCCCCCGGGGGGCCACACAGTGTCTGGTGGAGGGAGAACCTGCTGGGCCCAGTGCCTTGCAGATCGCCAGCATCCAGACTGTGCACCGGACGGAGTTCCAAGCACTCCCAGAGTGGGCCGCAGGATGTTTCTTGCTTCTAAAATTCAGTGTGCCTATGCGTGCACTC